ATTCACTTGCAGAAGCTCGTCCTCTTCTGACATGGACATATTTGTTGTGAAATGGACATATTTGCTTTACTTTCTAACATTTACAGATGGAGAATATGTGAAATGTAAGTTGAGCACTGAGGAAAGCACCACATCTCAAACGCATTAAACAGCGCAAGTATATCTGTCAGTCAGCAACAGTGTCTGTCAGAACATTTGACAGGGCGGCAAGCTGCCTTAAACTTGTTAACTATATCAAAGTGATTTTGACGCAATTAATATAAGCTTGTGTCATGTTTAGGACAAATTGTACTACGTAGCCTAGCTACTTTCACTGCAGCAGCTCACACTGCAACCTCCGCTATTTTTCAGATGTGCTCATATCAAACTACTGTATCGATATAAACGGTATTGCCTCATTCCATATCGTTTCAAAAAATATAACGATACATCGTACATACTCGATATATCGCCCAGCCCTACTCTACGCACATATTTGTATCGTCATACACTCTACACACGCATTTGTATACAGTCTATAAAAGCACACGTGTGTTTCAGGTGCGAGCGCAGAGGATGGAGACTCTGACGAGGAGTGGCCGGCTCTGGGTCATCATGTGGAGGAGAGCCGAGAGGTGGACGTGGATCCTGAGGACGAGTTAGCCATCGAGATGTTCATGAACAAGAACCCGCCACTCAGGTGTGTGTGTGTGTGTGTGTGTGTGTGTGTGTGTGTGTGCTAACATGAGCTTTCCTGTTGATTAAACAGTAGTGTCTGTGCTTGCAACACCAAAGTCAAGGGTTTGATTCCCAGGGAAAGCAAGAATGTAAATGTGTGTCTTGAAATGCAGTGCTAGTCGTTGTGGATAAAAGCGTCTGCCAAATGTACAAGTGTGTGTGTGTGTGTGTGACAGACGCACGCTAGCCGACATCATCATGGAGAAGATTACGGAGAAGCAGACTGAGGTGGGAACGGTGATGTCAGAGGTGTCAGGACGAGCCGATCCTCAGCTGGACCCTCGAGTCGTGCAGGTCTACAGAGGCGTTAGCAAGGTGCGTTAAACTAGCCTACAGCCACAATTCTGCACTGTAAACAATGAATCATGGGTCGTGTAGTTTTCAGTAAAGAAACTGGTAACATTACAACAAGGTTCATTAAGTAACATCGTTCATACGGAAATAAGTGTTTTTCTCTCTCTCTCTCTCTCTCTCTCTCTCTCTCTATGTCTCTCTCTCTCCGCAGGTGCTGTCGAAGTACCGGAGTGGGAAACTCCCCAAAGCGTTTAAGATCATCCCGGCTCTGTCCAACTGGGAGCAGGTCCTGTACCTCACCGAGCCGGAGAGCTGGACCGCCGCCGCCATGTACCAGGCCACCAGGTCAGAGGTCACGCACACTTCCCAGTCTACACACTAGGGCTGTCAAAATGGTGTTTTGAAAACGTTTGTGTGTGTAGGATCTTCTCGTCTAACCTGAAGGAGCGCATGGCTCAGCGCTTCTATAATCTGGTGCTGTTGCCTCGGGTTCGAGACGATATCACGGAGTACAAGCGCCTTAACTTCCACCTGTACAGCGCGCTCAAGAAGGCGCTCTTCAAACCCGCTGCCTGGTTCAAAGGTCGGTCATCTTACGTGTGCTGTAAGCCACGGGTTCCGTGTTGTCAGTCGGTTGGTGTTTTGGTCTGTGACTCCGCCCACTGCCAGTTCAGCCTATAGTATTTCGACACCCGGGATGCCAGTTGGCGGGAAACACAGAGTATCGTATCCATGGAAACGAGCAAACAGTCTGGGTCAGAGATCGCAGATTCCACAAGTCTCTATGAACGAGAGCCTAATAAAACGTGGATAATCAACTTATTAACTTGCAGTCTGTAAGTGTCCTCGGCTTTCGTGGTCGGTTGCGCTCGTTCCTGTCGTTAAGCTTAAATATGGAAATGAGGGGCTATCTAATTAAATATGCACTTATTTGCATACATTCAAAATTTCTGTTTCCTTTTTTTAAATATATATTAGAAGCAAAGGTTTCTACAGAGGGGATTTGGGATATGTCTATTTATCATGATCACAAATCAGAAAATACTGTCAACAGACTAAAATAAATACATTTCCGCCATTTTGTTAGGAATAAAATGTTTTATAAAATCAGGAAATTGATATACGATGAGATTTCTGGCTCAATGTAGGAGGAAAAATCTTAAATCTAAGAGTAAAAGAGAAATATTGGAAGAATATTAAATCTAATATTAATATTAGCTGAAAGCTGTATTAAAGCTGTATGAACACTAGAGGGCGCTGGGCTTTACAGTGGGCGTGTGTGACATCACACGGAAGAAACTGAAGCGCTATTATTGTTAACCGACACTATTAAAATTGGTTTGGTTTACTGAAACAAAGATGAAATTAAAGATAAGATAACTTAAAAACATGGTGAAAATGTTGTTTTGCTGTTTTCCGATAAATGGAAAAAGTCGAGTAAAAAACGAAATGAGAATTTTGATCCTGGAATTTTTAGTGCATATTTAATTAGATAATGCAACCATTTGCATATTTAAATGTAAAACAAGTGTCTTTAAAGTCCTCCTGTAGTCAATAATGTCAATAAAACTCATCTGATCACCAAAATTACATTTAAACGTTTTTTCTTTCAAAAAAATCGCCATGCCTTAAAATATCTTGAATGAAACTCGACACCCTCGCCTCGTTTAGTTTACCCTCGCCTCATTACTGTGATTAATCATGTGGGCAAAGTTTGCTGAGATATGTTAGTTAAAATAAAAAAATAAAATAATGAAATGACTTATGATTTGTGTGTGTGTGTGTGTGTGTGTGTGTGTGTGTGTAGGGATTCTGCTTCCGCTGTGTGAATCGGGAACATGTACGCTGAGAGAAGCCATTATCATCGGGAGTATCATCACACGCTGCTCTATCCCAGTGTTACACTCCAGGTGAGCGTTACACACAGGTCAAAGGTCAAAACGCTCACAGATGCGGATGCGATTCGTGGATTAACTGCCAATTTCCACATTGAAACTAGTTTAAACACAGAAGAAGAGGCGAGATCGGGACTCGCGCGATATCTGTGCGCACCGCCGAACACCGAACTGATTCCTCTTTCGTTTCAATGCGCACTAATGTCTAAACACTCGTCTCGGTTCTGTCATCAGTGAACAGGAAGACACCGGATGTGTGACTCTTAAAGTGACAGTAGCCTCATATTCCTGCTGCCGGCTGGCGTTCATAAAACAGCACAATACAGCTTTAACAGATGAAACTATATCTAATTTCTACAGTGAACAAATAGTGTTATCTTACATTCAGGCTTAAATATTAATGTCTGTACCTGAATACAGTTAGACTGTCACTGGGCCAATATGGCTGAATTAAATGCGATTATATTATAATACTATAATAAATCTGCTCATATGTGCTTACTTGAACACACACTTCACTACACAACATATAACAGCGCTTGTAGTGAAGATTAAACAGCATTCGGTGAGCAGAAAACACATTATTATCTTCCAACAGCCTTTTTTCTGTAATGTTCCTTGTCCTGTATTATTGATCTGTCCCCCTAAACACACGTCTGAGGAAGAGCAGATTGAGGATTTTATGACGTCGTTAATCGGCTTCATGTCTTTCTTTTTGTGGCTAGTAGTAGTTCTGAACGTCCGGTAACTTAGACGTGCATTAGCCGGGGAGTGAGTTGATTTCACGTCTGGTTGCGCCGCTAACGTACGGTGTGTGTCCTGTGTGCAGCGCTGCGATGCTGAAGCTGGCGGAGATGGAGTACACCGGGGCGAACAGCATCTTCCTGCGGCTGCTGCTGGATAAGAAGTACGCGCTGCCCTTCCGCGTGCTGGACGCGCTGACCGCACACTTCCTGGCCTTCCGCTCGGACCGCCGGACGCTGCCGGTGCTGTGGCACCAGAGCCTGCTCACGCTAGCGCAGCGCTACCGCGCCGACCTGTCCTCCGAACAGAAGGAGGCGCTGCTGGACCTGCTGAAGGTGCACACACACCCGGGGGTTACGGCTGAGATCCGGCGAGAGCTGCAGAGCGCCGAGTCCCGAGACGTGGAGGACGCCACGCCCGCCATGGCCGTCGACTGACCCCGCCTCCATCTTCACGAGTGGAATAACCTCATGATGAGGATGACGTGGCGCAATGTATTTAGCTTTTTTGTCGTGATGCAATGTTCATATTTTTGGACTAAACTTGGTTGGAACTAAATAAAATCATAAACTCATCCAGACCTGTCATTTTGGCACTCGTGGCTTGTAACCTTGACATGAAATATTGTTCTCAACGAATTTTGCCTCCATGACGAGTAAAACATGTACGTGTGTGTGTGTATGTGTGTGTATATATATATATAATTTATTTATTATATGAAGACTATATTATATTATAATCCTGGTAAGGTTATCCCAGATAGCAAACTGACATTGAATCAACGTGGAAACATGACATCGAAACAACGTTGATCTGACATTGTTTTGCTCATCGAATTAACGTTGAACCAACGTCAGACGCGTCATTCTTTCAAAACTAACGGAAAATCAACTTGAAATCAACGCGTTGTTTCAACGTTATGAAAGCAAACCAATTTTCGATTTCATTTAGCTTTGAAGAATGCCGCGTCTCACGTTGGTTCAACGTTAATTCGATGAGCAAAATCAACGTTGTTTCAATGTCATGAGAGACGTCGTTTCCACGTTGATTCAATGTCAGTTTGCTGTCTGGGATGTTATGCTAAGATTATATTTTTCTTAGTTATGTTAATTATAAATGGATAACATGGGGGAGGGGGATCTCTGTGACAAATTATATATTAAATAATAATGATAATAAACAGCTTGCTTTCTGCTGAGGTGGACGTTATTAAATTTAGTTCATGATTATGGAAAAAAAGTTATTGTGGAGTTCATGAGACCAGGACCTCATATCAATAAAATAATTTTTTTTTTTTTTTTAAATAATGCTTGAAGAAGAAAAAAAAAACATTAACAACAATAATTGTCATAACATACTACAACAAAACTCCAGAGTCCTTTCAGTCCAGATTTAAAAAAACAACAAAAAAACGTCTGTTTGTTTCACGATGACTATCGCGATCTGCGATATGACGTCACAACGATCATTCGTGGATTCTCGTGAAAGCGGACACGCCGCGCGCCGGTATCTCGCGCACAAACCTTCCGTAAGCTGAATAAATTGATGCGTTTCACTCTTGAATTCGGCTAAATGTACAGTGAAAGGCGTAAAGATAGAGAATTAAAGTCTCAAATTTTAAATAGGTACAATCGTTGATCTTCCAAGACAATGTGGATTTTATACATAAGAAAACTAGATAGCGATTATGTCTGCTTAGGAAGTTAAGAAATTTTGACATTGAAAGGAGGATCTTAAGCATTGTTTATAGATCAATGATTGAAAGTGTTTTAACTTAATATTGTTTCATGGTATCTAACACGAGTAATCAATGAAGCAAAACTTGGAACTCCTAATCAGATGATAACATTACTGCCAGCCAGGTGGTGGTTAATTAATTTAATTAACGAGATGAACGCGTTCCTCGCTGACAAGACGACTCCACTTGTTTCTTCAGAGCCCTTTCACCGCTGCTTTTGTTTCCAGGTTTGTCGTAGTCATTAGATGCGTGTGGCTCTTTTTGTCTTGGTTTCTTGTGTGTTAACTGAAGTTCACTACCGGCTCCTCGGGTAGATGGAGATTCGGTGCTGAAGGTCTCCAGAGCGACTGAAGAAAGCAAAATCATGTTCAGACGTTACTTATCTTTGACCTTCATCCAAACAGACAAACCGATTTACAATCCAGACAAACGGGTGAGCTGTGAATGACCCTTGGGTGAAGCTATCATCTTCAAATGCATTATGCAATATATGTGAGTTTGTTGGTCTCTTTGCAGTTAATTTCAGAGTTGTCTCCATGGATCCCAAATCTGAGCCTTTTGATCAAATGGTAAGAGCAATGTTTCACCATTTTGAGTGTTCTGACCATAAATGAAAAGCAAATTAAATGCAGGTTCTCTTAAGATGCAGAAATTTCAACTTCAATGACTGCTTTTAAATGTTTATTATTCCTGTCTGTCTTGCAGTACAGTCTGGTCGTGGTGGAGGTGAGTAAGCCCTTGAATCGAGCCAATGCATAATCTTATACACCCATTTCTATGCAAGAATGATAAATGAGGGCCATTGAGTTAATAACGTAATATTTAATAATACGTAAATACATTAAACAAAAACAGGTAAGTTGATCATTTCGAGTAAAACAATGTTCAGGTTATCCGTAGCACACGTAGAAATGCTATTTTCACATTCAAGTTTACTCACAGTTTTTAATCGATAAGAAACTGTAGTCACTTTTCAGTGGTGTTTAGTTGGGAAATATGTTGTCGTCTTTTAATTTTTCACATTTGCTATGAAATATAGTCAACATTTGATGTGAATCTAAACCTTTCATCAAATTAATACATTAATTCTGAACAATACCTGTTTTTGTCTTTTTTTTTTGATCCCCTTCAAATGTTGACTATTTATCAAATGTGATACAAAAAGTCTATAGCATATATTCACCATTTTGAATAATATTGTCACTGTCGAGTGGAATCCCCACATCTTTCACCGAACAATTTTATTTTTCATACATTATTGTTATTGGTCAGACTGTACATTTATCTGTGGGGGGTTTACGCAAATCTTTAAATGAGGGAAAGTATTAATTTGTGACTAAATCTCATAACATCATTGGATCCTCAAACTGTCAGTCAAACCTCATTACTCCGCCCCCTGTATCAGTGCTGCACTTTCTGCTTGTTTGCAATGCAACAGTAAATGGATCTGGTTTTTGAATACCGATAGCATTTACTTTACTCAATAAACTATCTATCTATCTCTATCTATATCTAGGCTAATGTGTTATGTATTTGAGGAGCAGAAATGAGTGTCTTAGTCTAGTATTTGCCATAGCCGATACTGCCGGCTAAGTTTTCGGATATATTAGGGTTTCCATCTAACGGTGACAATATGTATAATATATTTAATTCACCATATTATTATATATTCTAACCCATTTTTTTTTTCAATATGTTAGCACACTTCTGCTGTACTGGCTCATAAAACAGTCCTCATGGTTATATCAGAGTCCTGAATCGTGAATGTCTTCTTTTGGCGTTTACTCCGCTCAGACGAATATATTACACCTGACAGTGTGTTGAGTCTGGACGACACGTTACTGTCTTCCTCTTTCTGAACAAACACCGTCCTTTACGTTTATTAAGAATGGCTGCTGATTTCTTCTCCAGCGCGGCGAGATCAACGTTCAACGCCTCCGCCATCTCAGCCTTCGTGACCGACACAAAATGGCCGTCGCTGGCGAGACTCTCCAAACCTCCAGCGATCAGAGCCTGAGGAACAAAATCAGAAGAAAATGTGAAACTCATTTCAGTTTTATTTCACTGCCATAGGGAAGATTTGATCTCACCGATTGGATGAGGAACTCGGCTGCGCTCACTGGACCGTTCTGTCTGGATGCACTGATGCATGATGGGAAATGTAGTCCACATCTGCTCCAAGAAAGAGATCAGCTTCATCATTATCGTCACAACCACATACACTCAGCTTAAAGTCTCTGTCTATGTGTCTGTGGTGTTTTTAATATGCTTTAACCGTGTGTAAGTTGATAAGTGGACAGCATAAACTGCAATGAATCAAAGACGGTCTCAAAAACACGCTTTGGTGTTTCTGACGTCACAAACCACCTTGTAACCAATCAGATCAACGTGTGATCGACAACCAGTGGATCTCTGAGTGAGTGAGTGAGTGGAGGCGGGGCTCATCTGCATATCCATAGAACTGCGCGTACTAAACGAGGCGAGTTACGTTCAAGATATTTTTAAGGGGAAGACGAATTTTTGTTTGTGGAAAAAACATTTAAATATGACATTTTGGTGATGAAAGATGAGTTTAAGGGTTTACAGGACTTCAAAAGACGCTCACCTCTGTGGGGGTCTGTGATTGTTTGTGTTGTTGTTATTGGTATTTGCGTGGTAATGAGCATATGAGGCCTCGGTCTCGTCTGCGACCTGTAGGGGGCGCTGGCTGGTCATCTGGGTGGGGGAGTGGGTTCCTCTCTCCATAGCGAATGGATCCACGTGGTTTCCAAACAGGCCGCCTGCTCTCTGTTGAACCGAAGAAGAGCATTAATCCTTCTCAATCTCATCTGCCATCTCTGGGGGTCTCGTTTATAAAACTATGAGTGTGTAGGATCCTAACTAAAAGTCGACATGCGTCAAAAGCCAAATAATCAGACTTATGAAAGTGTGTGTACGCCAGAACCTGCGCTAAATCCACTTTATAAACCCGTCAGAGGAAGATTGTGAACATGCGCCTCCTCCCAGAAATAACCATACATGAGTTTACAACGCCTCGTTTAATATCGTTTGCATATGCATATTCATCCACGTGTAATATTAGTGAAGATGACAAAGAAATTGTTCAAAACAAGTTTTAACTTTATTTTGTTTGGATATTGCCTTCTGGGATTTGATCTGGATTCCCCCCTTGGGGTTAAAGTGCAATCAGAAACTACAAGCCAAATAAGCAAGATGGCAGGCCCAACCTTTCTAAAGAGTGGCAATGTAACATAACATAAAATGATGGTCTACTCTGGGATTGGGGGGATGTAAAACACTTTATCGCCCCAACGCACGGGTTATAATCTGTTCTGTTCTGCACCCACCCTGTAGATGCCGTCCTCTCCGGCCTCGTCCATCGCTCGGTCCATCTCCTCCTCGTTCAGCAGGTCTCCAGAGATCGCCCTCTGCAGTTCAGGAGCGGCTTCTTCCTCGATGCTCCTCAGACCCGCCTGAGAGGAAGAGAGAGAGACCGGTGTGGTGAAGAGATGGGTCCCACCTCAGGACCCCATAGTATGCCAGTAGTATGCCTGATCTAAATATGTTCTCGCGATAACTTGAAAAAGTTATCAAGTAATACGTTTATTTGTTTAGCGCTTTTCATAGTAGGTTGCGTCAACAGCAGAGGAGAAAGTCCGCGAAATTTAAAAAAAATACTATTTTTACTAAAAATATTAAAATATTACTGTTATTGTGTCATGAAATGTAACTTTAAGAGTTTTTAAGTCGAGATTATAGTTGTTTAAAGGGTTAGTTCACCCAAAAATGAAAATTAAGTCATTAATTACTCACCCCCATGCTGTACCAACCCCGTAAGACCTTCGTTCATCTTCGGAACACAAATAAAGATATTTTTGATTGAATCTGAGGGCTGGATGACTCTTCCATAGACAGCCTGAGGGACTGCCTCTTGACGGCCCAGAAAGTCATTAAAAGAAAAGGTTTAAATATTCCATGTGCCTACAGTGGCTCAACTATAACTTTATCAAGCGACGAGACTACTTTTTGTGCGAAAAAAAAAACGTAAATAACGACTTCATTCGACTTTCCATTACTTCCTTATGGGCGCATGCGCGAGAACTGAGACGAGACCGTTCTTCTTCGACTACTTTTTGTTACCGGCTGCTCACCGCTTAGGAGTTTTACCGCCCCCTACCGTATAAGATGACGTACTGCTTGTAAACAAAACGTTTTGCGCCTCCGGCTATATCAGTACGTCATCTTATACGTTGTTTGAAATCCAGTCAAACTATCGAATGGTCGTGCAACACTCTCTCGTTTTCCCCTGAGATGAGAGAAATCCGCTATTTACTTCCTCACTTCCTCCTACAATGACGCAAAACTCGTCATTTTACGTCATTGTAGGACGAAGCCTAAGAGGGGGCGATTTTTGTACAGACTACAAGCACTAGATCCACCCTTTCAAACCCGCCCATAGACCAGACCAATCACAGATCAGTGCCAGTGCGTTTGATTTCACCGGCAGGAAACTTTTTGAAGGTGCTGAATACGGAGACGGATGCTCTTTCACACAAGCGTTCATGTCTGATGGTAGTGTGCATGCAGAGACCTGTATCTCCGTGGTGTTTTTGTTTTTCTTGTTCGGCCGGTATCCGTAATATTCCTCCTGTCGCTTCATGAACTTCCGGAAGTGGTCCTGGATCAGGAACGTGGCATAAAACTTCCCCACGGTCACCTCATCATCTGTGGTTCAAGAAGCAAACGTTTAATCCTTAGTTTAAAGCCCCGTAAAGGATTGTTGTTTTCCTGGAAATGCGAGTTCATGTTATTCCCAAACATGTGTTTTCCCTTGTTCCGGGTCCAAAATGTCCCGTCCCGCTTGTGAATCTCTCACTATGTTATAATATCACCAAATATGGGATTCAGTCAACTTTTTTTTGTTCTCAATTCAGACAGGTTTTGTATTTCTTTGTGGATCTGATCGATCGTGGGCCTCGTTGATTTGTCCTCATGCTCCTCAGTTTTTTAAGTGAAGATCAATGAGGCCTACGATCAATCAGATCCAAAGCCAAACTCACACAGCCTGTGCTAATTGAAAGAAAACGGGTTAACAAAAGGACAATGTTCATTAGCATTCACTGGAGATTCATTTTTGACCCGGAACGAGTTTTAATAATGCCGATATCATCTCATTGCAGTTTATTATTCAGTGTAATCGAGAGATCTGACCTCCGATTGGCGGGATGACCTGGTCTAGCAGTTTCATACTGGTGCGTTTCCAGATCTTCTTAATAATCGCACGCAGCTCCTCATTGGCCTGCTCAAAATTACCTGACGAATGGAAGAATCAGAGAATTCAGGCTTTTAATGGGTAAATATTGCCATTATTATTTTAAATATTCACTGAAAACCGTTTGTAGTACGTTTCTAGTAAAAATGTCACGTGATCCTTTAAATTAAATGTGAAATGTCGAAGTAGAAAGACTAAAATAGTATTTTCTAATGACTGAAACTTTAAAGAATGATTTTTTTTTTGCCGTGTATTAAATGATAAATAACGCCACAACCTTCGGTTTTGATTTTCAGTGCCGTCCTGACCAGAGCGAACAGCGTGGCGTTAAACGTCACCGTCCCGTCGCTGTTCAGAGGCATGTTCATAGAAATCAGCCTCTGGAAACAAACATATAAAGATGTAAAGATGCTTGGGCCAGCAGTTTATGAATTAGGGATGCACCGATATGAACGTTTTGGCCGATACCGATAACCGATATTTTTAATATTTGAAAACCGATAACCGATATATTGGCTGATAAATCACATTTTTATATAAGTTTTGAGAGCCTGATTACACAAACAAAAGTCTCACCATTTAATAATTAGGGCAAATGTTTTTATCAGGCCGATAACGTTAAAAATGAACGAATATTGGCAGATACCGATATGGTGACCGATATATCGTGCATCCCTAGTATGAATGTGTTTGTGTCTCACTTTGCAAGCAACACGATGGGGACAGAACTTCCCGAAGCCGAGCGGTGGCTGTATTCTCCTCAGCAGCGTCACCACGTCCAGGTGCTTAATGCGCCCCCTGCCGAATGACACAGGAATTACACCGATAATCGTTTCATGTTGATATTAAAGTCGGCATTTGAGCTATTCTTTTCTTCTCCATGACACGTGTGGGCGGGGCTTGATTGTGTCCGTGGGGAGTTGATTAGACGGTTGTGGTCTGCTATTGGTGGATCTCCTGTGAGTGATGGGTTATAGCTCCGCCCACATCATCAGAGGGAGGGAAGTTATTTTGACTCAAGGTTACGAGGAACATGAATTTAATAACACTTTGCTTACGTCGCCTCAGGGTCGTATTCAGCCCAGATCTTCTTAAACTCATCTAGATGATGCGGCCCCAGTATCGACCAATCACGGGTCAGATAGTCAAAGTTGTCCATGATCACGGCCACAAATAGATTAATGATCTGCGATGGAAAACATTAAGTGTAATTAACGCGTGTGTCTATGCCTGTACCCTCAACAGACACCTTCAGCATTTCCCACATTAGCACATACCAGTTTAGCTCAACCAGTGACCAAGCAATGCTTCATGTTGTTCAGTGTGTGTGTGTGTGTGTGTGTGTGTGTACTCACCAGAAAAGCGCAGAGCATGTAAAAACTCATGAAGTACAGGACGGCGAACCCAGAGCCGCATGTGAACTCTTCTCCAGGGAGGTAATCTGACTTTGGGTCACAGCGCTGACCGTACAAACAACCCAACATGATCTCCTGCCAGCTCTCACCTGTGGCACACCTGTGGACAGGTGTGTGTCTTTACACTCATGCTCATAAAACACACACACACACACAGAGCGAGGCCTCACTGTTACTACCTGAATAGCACTAGAACGGCTTGAGGAAACGTCTGGAAGTTGTTGTTCCGGTTGATCACCGTACCGTCTAGTAATGCGATTTTGCCGAAGACCTGATAAAGGAAAGTCACATCATCATTAGTGTGAAGCTGAATATACAGTACTGAATATTTTTGAGTTTTTAGCAAAAATGTATAATCTTCGTTATTCCAAACTTTTGACTGCCACTGCATTTCTGAAAATATGCACGATGGAAACACGTCAATTTCGTACAAAACCGCCTTGAACCGCAACCGAGGAACAAATTACAATAATAAAATCGAAATATTTTGGCAATGCCATGTTGGTAGATTATCAATATTACGACTTTATTCTCATAATGTTTCGACTTTAACCACTAAAAATTTCAACTTTATTCTCTTAAATGTTTCTCAATTTTTTTTTGCCATTAATGCTCGGAAAACACACCAACGTCTCCTTCCATTAAAAGTAACGTCTAGTGAGGTGGCTGGGATATACATAAACCTACCAACTTCTGTCGCCATAATTGTTGGAATGACTGATCGCAAGAGGGAAAAAATATGTTTCCGTCGCATAAAATCGGTTAATGCAAATGTTATTTCGTTAGAGATTTTTATTGACATTTAGAAAATATCACAAAAGATTTGTGCAAATTTGTAATGGAAATGTCTTTTCGCTAGAGTATTTTATAGACATTTAGAAAATATCGCAAAAGATTTGTAATGGAAAGTCATTTCGCTAGAATTTTTTATTGACATTTAGAAAATATTGCAAAAGATTTGTGCAAATTTTTAATGGAAACGTCATTTCGCAAGAGTATTTTATAGACATTTAGAAAATATTGCAAAAGATTTGTGCAAATTTGTATGGAAACGTCATTTTGCAAGAGATTTTAATGGACATTTAGAAAATATTGCAAAAGATTTGTGCAAATTTGTAATGGAAACGTCATTTCGCAAGAGTATTTTATAGACATTTAGAAAATATTGCAAAAGATTTGTGCAAATCTGTAATGGAAATGTCATTTCGCAAGAGTTTTTAATGGACATTTAGAAAATATTGCAAAAGATTTGTGCAAATTTGTATGGAAACGTCATTTTGCAAGAGTTTTTAATGGACATTTAGAAAATATTGCAAAAGATTTGTGCAAATTTGTATGGAAACGTCATTTCGCAAGAGTTTTTAATGGACATTTAGAAAATATTGCAAAAGATTTGCACAAATCTGTAATGGAAACGTCATTTCGCTACAGTTTTTTATTAAAGTTTAGAAAATATCTTGAAATATTTTCGCGAATCTGTAATGGAAACGTCAGTTCGCAAGAGTTTTTTTATTGAAATTTAGAAAATATTGTAAAAGATTTGGACAAATCTGTTATGGAACAGAGTTTTTTAATTGACATTTAGAAAATAACCCAAACGATTTGCGCAAATTTGTATGGAAACGTCATTTCGCAAGAGTTTTTAATGGACATTTAGAAAATATTGCAAAAGATTTGTGCAAATCTGTAATGGAAACGTCATTTCGCAAGAGTATTTTATAGACATTTAGAAAATATTGCAAAAGATTTGTGCAAATCTGTAATGGAATCGCATTTCGCAAGAGTATTTTATAGACATTTAGAAAATATTGCAAAAGATTTGTGCAAATCTGTAATGGAAACGTCATTTCGTTACAGTTTTTAATAGACATTTAGAAAATATTGCAAAAGATTTGTGCAAATCTGTAATGGAAACGTCATTTCGCAAGAGTATTTTATAGACATTTAGAAAATATTGCAAAAGATTTGTGCAAATCTGTAATGGAAACGTCATTTCGCTACAGTTTTTAATGGACATTTAGAAAATATTGCAAAAGATTTGTGCAAATCTGTAATGGAAACGTCATTTCGCAAGAGTATTTTATAGACATTTAGAAAATATTGCAAAAGATTTGTGCAAATCTGTAATGGAAACGTCATTTCGCAAGAGTATTTTATAGACATTTAGAAAATATTGCAAAAGATTTGTGCAAATCTGTAATGGAAACGTCATTTCGCAAGAGTTTTTAATGGACATTTAGAAAATATTGCAAAATATTTGCACAAATCTGTAATGGAAACGTCATTTCGCTACAGTTTTTTATTAAAGTTTAGAAAATATCTTGAAATATTTTCGCGAATCTGTAATAGAAACGTCAGTTCGCAAGAGTTTTTTATTGAAATTTAGAAAATATTGTAAAAGATTTGCACAAATCTGTTATGGAACAGAGTTTTTTATTGACATTTAGAAAATAACCCAAACGATTTGTGCAAATTTGCATGGAAACGTCATTTCGCAAGAGTTTTTAATGGACATTTAGAAAATATTACAAAAGATTTGTGCAAATCTGTATTGGAAACGTCATTTCGCAAGAGTATTTTATAGACATTTAGAAAATATTGCAAAAGATTTGTGCAAATTTTTTATGGAAACGTCATTTTGCAAGAGTTTTTAATGGTCATTTAGAAAATATTGCAAAAGATTTGTGCAAATTTGTATGGAAACGTCATTTCGCAAGAGTTTTTAATGGACATTTAGAAAATATTGCAAAAGATTTGCACAAATCTGTAATGGAAACGTCATTTCGCTACAGTTTTTTATTAAAGTTTAGAAAATATCTTGAAATATTTTCGCGAATCTGTAATGGAAACGTCATTTCGCAAGAGTTTTTTATTGAAATTTAGAAATATTGTAAAAGATTTGCACAAATCTGTTATGGAACAGAGTTTTTTATTGACATTTAGAAAATAACCCAAACGATTTGCGCAAATTTGTATGGAAACGTCATTTCGCAAGAGTTTTTAATGGACATTTAGAAAATATTACAAAAGATTTGTGCAAATCTGTAATGGAAACGTCATTTCGCAAGAGTTTTTTATAGACATTTAGAAAATATTGCAAAAGATTTGCGCAAATTTGTAATGGAAATGTCATTTTGCTAGAGTTTTTTTAATTGACATTTAGAAAATAACCCAAACGATTTGCGCAAATTTGTATGGAAAAGTCATTTCGCTAGAGTTTTTAATGGACATTTAGAAAATATTGCAAAAGATTTGCACAAATCTGTAATGGAAACGTCATTTCGCTACAGTTTTTTATTAAAGTTTAGAAAATATCTTGAAATATTTTCGCGAATCTGTAATGGAAACGTCAGTTCGCAAGAGTTTTTTATTGAAATTTAGAAAATATTGTAAAAGATTTGCACAAATCTGTTATGGAACAGAGTTTTTTATTGACATTTAGAAAATAACCCAAACGATTTGCGCAAATTTGTATGGAAACGTCATTTCGCAAGAGTTTTTAATGGACATTTAGAAAATATTGCAAAAGATTTGCACAAATCTGTAATGGAAACGTCAGTTCGCAAGAGTTTTTTTATTGAAATTTAGAAAATATTGTAAAAGATTTGCGCAAATTTGTTATGGAATTGTGTGTATTGTACCTGCATGCCGATGACGGCGTAGATGAAGAACAGCATAACGATGAGGAGAGCCACATAAGGTAAAGCCTGGAAACACACACCAACACCCTCGTTACACACATCTGTGTTACAACACATACCTGTGGCAGAGTATAATTAAATGTATTCTGTGCACATAGTGTTATTTATTTAATGTATGATGCTTTTATGTACGTGACTCTTGTTAATTGTTAATTGTAGGGACAAACAGAGGACTATCAGACCTGGAATGATTTGATGAAGGTCCACAGCAGGTTTCGGATCCCCTCAAAGCGGTTGAGCAGTTTTACCAAACGCATGACGCGGAAAAGCCGGAACAGTGTGATTGACACACTCATGTTCTCGGAGTCCTGAGGAACAAACGCAAACGCTCAGGAATCCACGGTTAACACCAGCTCATTTCTTCACTGAATCTCCACTTACTGCTATGGCTTGCATTGGGTTTACTTCCTGGAACAAGAGATTATATATGGCAGGGATTACACGTTGAATCATTTCACTTGCAAAATCAAAGTGTTGTTTAATTAACCTTTGTGCATCCTTTAAAAAATGTTACACACAGGTCCATTGAGGACAACAATGTCTCACACTCTACAAATTTGGTCTCATTTTAGAGAAGATCCTTGGCAGATTATTTAAGTAAAAAAAGTTATAGAGGTTTAAGTTTATGAACAATATTTTATATAAAATATATATTTTATAAAACATGTTGAACTCTAAAACTGCTAGAAAATCATAAATCTAAACAATTTGCGTTCCAAATTTGAGGTTGATATCTCAAAAAACTGGCTGTTTGAGCGCAGTAACACACTTTCTCCAATAGATGGGACACACACTGATTGGAGTTTTTCTCTCAAATATTACAAGCACACACACAAACCATACTCTGACATTACATGACTCATTACATCCGCATAATTTATCCAATTTCCTCTATAATATGCATAAGCAAAAAACAGGGCCGTTTTGTCCTTAAGGTCCTGAGAGGAACTATTGTGTGTTACTAGTGCAAAATAGATATATTAAAGGAAATGGGGGTGAAATATTGAAATTCCAATAAAAATACACGCCTGTACCAATTTTTATGCAGTTAGCATTAACACAGGCAAAATTATCAAGAAAACAAAACTGAGAAATGCCCATAAGGATGCACAAGGGTTAAAGTTGCTGACATGAACTCATTAATGGAGTCATGGATGTAGAATAACAGGATTGGTGTTTACCGAGCAGCCGGTGAGGCAGTAGAGTCCGCCCTGAGCGGCGAGCGCCGCCTGGAGAGAGAAAACCAGTGAAGAAGAGTCTCAGCCAACGTCAGCGACACAACAGGTACAACATGTTCTTACTCACAGTTTCTGTCCAAATATCTAAACAACACCTGCCATTAGGTGTCATGTCTTGTTTTCTGGGGAATTAATCAAAATGAAGTGAGTTTGTAAAACAAGTAAAATGATCTGCCTATGGGGTACGAGATGGGGTCTTGGTTCCGTAATAAACCTACCAACGTCTGTTGCCATAATTGTTGGAATGACTGATCGCATAAGTTTCAGTCGCATAAAATCGGTTCATGCAATTGGCGTTATTTCGCTAGAGATTTTTATTGCCATTTAGAAAATATCGCAAAAGATTTGAGCAACTTTGTAATGGAAATGTCATTTCGCTAGATTTTTTTATTGACATTTAGAAAATATCGCAAAAGATGTGTGCAAATCTGTGACGGAAACGTCATTTTGCAAGAGTTTTTTTGTTGAAATTTAGAAAATATCTTGAAAGATTATCGCAAATCTGTAATGGAAACGTCATTTCGCAAGAGTTTTTTTTATTGACATTTACAAAATATCGCAAAAGATTTGCTTAAATCTGTAACGGAAACGTCATTTCACAAGAGTTTATTTATTGAAATTTAGAAAATATCTTAAAAGATTATCTCAAATCTGTAACGCAAACGTCATTTCGCAAGAGATTTTTTTATTGAAATTTAGAAAAATATGTTGAAAGATTATCGCAAATCTGTAATGGAAACGTCATTTCGCAAGAGTTTTTTATTGACATTTACAAAATATCGCAAAAGATTTGCTTAAATCTGTAACGGAAACGTTATTTCGCAAGAGTTTATTTATTGAAATTTAGAAAATATCTTGAAAGATTATCTCAAATCTGTAACGCAAACGTCATTTCGCAAGAGATTTTTTTATTGAAATTTAGAAAAATATGTTGAAAGATTATCGCAAATCTGTAATGGAAACGTCATTTCGCAAGAGTTTTTTATTGACATTTACAAAATATCGCAAAAGATTTGCTTAAATCTGTAACGGAAACGTTATTTCGCAAGAGTTTATTTATTGAAATTTAGAAAATATCTTGAAAGATTATCTCAAATCTGTAACGGAAACGTCATTTCGCAAGAGTTTTTTTATTGAAATTTAGAAAAATATGTTGAAAGATTATCACAAATCTGTAATGGAAACGTCATTTCGCATGAGTTTTTTTATTGACATTTACAAAATATCGCAAAAGATTTGCTTAAATCTGTAACGGAAATGTTATTTAGCAAGAGTTTATTTATTGAAATTTAGAAAATATCTTGAAAGATTATCTCAAATCTGTAACGGAAACGTCATTTCGCAAGAGTTTTTTTATTGAAATTTAGAAAGATATGTTGAAAGATTATCGCAAATCTGTAATGGAAACGTCATTTCGCAAGAGTTTATTTATTGAAATTTAGAAAATATCTTGAAAGATTATCTCAAATCTGTAACGGAAACGTCATTTCGCAAGAGTTTTTTTTATTGAAATTTAGAAAAATATGTTGAAAGATTATCGCAAATCTGTAACGGAAACGTCATTTCGCAAGAGTTTTTTTTATTGAAATTTAGAAAAATATGTTGAAATATTATCGCAGATCTGTAACGGAAATGTCATTTCGCAAGAGTTTTTTTTCTTGAAATTTAGAAAAATATGTTGAAAGATTATCGCAAATCTGTAATGAAAACGTCATTTCGCAAGAGTTTTTTATTGACATTTACAAAATATCGCAAAAGATTTACTTAAATCTGTAACGGAAACGTCATTTCGCAAGAGTTTATTTATTGAAATTATCTTGAAAGATTATCTCAAATCTGTGACGGAAACGTCATTTCGTAAGAGTTTTTTTATTGACATTTACAAAATATCGCAAAAGATTTGCTTAAATCTGTAACGGAAATGTTATTTAGCAAGAGTTTATTTATTGAAATTTAGAAAAATATGTTGAAAGATTATCACAAATCTGTAATGGAAACGTCATTTCGCATGAGTTTTTTTATTGACATTTACAAAATATCGCAAAAGATTTGCTTAAATCTGTAACGGAAATGTTATTTAGCAAGAGTTTATTTATTGAAATTTAGAAAATATCTTGAAAGATTATCTCAAATCTGTAACGGAAACGTCATTTCGCAAGAGTTTTTTTATTGAAATTTAGAAAGATATGTTGAAAGATTATCGCAAATCTGTAATGGAAACGTCATTTCGCAAGAGTTTATTTATTGAAATTTAGAAAATATCTTGAAAGATTATCTCAAATCTGTAACGGAAACGTCATTTCGCAAGAGTTTTTTTTATTGAAATTTAGAAAAATATGTTGAAAGATTATCGCAAATCTGTAACGCAAACGTCATTTCGCAAGAGTTTTTTTATTGACATTTACAAAATATCGCAAAAGATTTGCTTAAATCTGTAACGGAAACGTCATTTCGCAAGAGTTTTTTTTATTGAAATTTAGAAAATATCTTGAAAGATTATCTCAAATCTGTAATGGAAACGTCATTTCGCAAGAGTTTTTTTATTGACATTTACAAAATATCGCAAAAGATTTGCTTAAATCTGTAACGGAAACGTCATTTCGCAAGAGTTTTTTTTATTGAAATTTAGAAAATATCTTGAAAGATTATCTCAAATCTGTAATGGAAACGTCATTTCGCATGAGTTTTTTTATTGAAATTTAGAAAAATATATTGAAAGATTATCGCAAATCTGTAACGCAAACGTCATTTCGCAAGAGTTTTTTTATTGACATTTACAAAATATCGCAAAAGATTTACTTAAATCTGTAACGGAAACGTCATTTCGGAAGAGTTTATTTATTGAAAATATCTTGAAAGATTATCTCAAATCTGTGACGGAAACGTCATTTCGTAAGAGTTTTTTTGTTGAAATTTAGAAAATATATTGAAAGATTATCGCAAATCTGTAACGGAAACGTCATTTCGCAAGAGTTTTTTTATTGACATTTACAAAATATCGCAAAAGATTTGCGCAAATCTGTAATGGAAACGTCATTTCGCTACATTTTTCAATTAAAGTTTAGAAAATATCTTGAAAGATTGAAGACATAGTCATGGCATTTAAGTTAAACTCACATTAATTTCACTCAGCATGACGTCCACAATACTGCCCACCACAATGATGAAGTCAAACACGTTCCAGGGGTCCCCGAAGTAGCCCTGCCATAGACAAGCACCTTTAGATATGGATCCTATTTCATATGCACATTTCATGATCAAACACGTCTTACCGCAGTCCTTCTGTGTCTGATTAATAGTTTTATCAAGTATTTTAGTGTAATTGTACAAACGTCCTCCTTCAGCTCGAGCTTCACGTGTCTTTCAATCTGCACTGATTTTTATCAGGTAAATGTAAAAATAACTTTAATATTCTTGGACTGAATCAGCTTCGCTTTACTTGATTATCCAGAACATCAAATATGATCATCAGGCTTTCGAGGAAGGTCATCCTCAATCATTATTGTATTGCTTTTAAAACATAAGCATTTAAATATCACCTTACTTAGACATATTATTGGCAGTTATTGATATTTATGCACATATTATATAAGTATCTGCTATAGTGTGATAAAGATCTCATTGGTTTACATTACAAGCATCAGAATATGCACCAAATTGCATGTTTATGTTCAGTATCTGAATAAAATGTTGTTTCCCGCCAGTTTCTACAGGGTTAGCATAACTATAAAGTATAAATTAGTGGTTTTCTGGCAGTCTAAATGCAAGACTCACCTTAGCTTTGAAGGCGCCGAGTTTGAGTAGCATTTCCACCGTGAACAGAACCGTGAAGATGACGTTCAGCATGTCTGAGAGATCGGTGATGTGGTCCGACTGGTTACAGTGCTGAACGATAAACGCGTTCAGTTCACATTCATCGCGCTTTTCACAACACGCGGCTTTACAGAAAGTGCACGAACACACATTACAGTGATCTACAAAATCACAGTTAGCGAAACATGTTTAATGATTTAATGCAGAAATAAGGAGCTCATTGAAGTCATGAATACTTGTTTACATCTGTCGAAAGTGAGTCAGTCATGATGGAAGAAGAGTGTGATATACACCTAGGATGGATTGAGGGAGCGTAAACCATGCTTGTGTGTTCTCACCTGCATCCCCAGACACATGGTGTTGAGCATGATGAGGAGGAACATCAGGTACTCGAAGTAGCACGAGGTGACGATGTACCACACCTGATACTGATACGGGTTCTTGGGGATGTAGCATCTCAGAGGCCGGGCCTTCAGCGCGTACTGGACACACTGGCGCTGGCGGCGGAAAGGTGCGTTGAAATTTTGCTTATCATTTATTACTTAAAGCTCACTTGGAAGTTCTTCGATTCCACATCTAACACTACTGGCCTGGGGTACGTTTCCCGAAAGCATCGTTAGCCAACTATGGTCGCAAGTTGGTCGCAATTTCCATTTAACTCTATTGGAAAACGACCATAGTTGGCTACGATGATTTCGGGAAACGCACCCCAGACTGATAATATTTAAGCCTAAATGTAAGATAACACTATTTGTTCACTGTAGAAATTAAATATAGTTTCATCTGTTAAAGCTGTATTGTGTTGTGTTATGAACGTTGACGCCAGCCGGCAGCAGGAATATGAGGCTACTGTCACTTTAAGAGTCACACATTCGGTGTCTTCCTGTTCACTGATGACGAAACCGAGACGAGACGCGCATTGAAACGAAAGAGGAATCAGTTCGGTGTTCGGCGGTGCGCACAGATATCGCGCGAGTCCCGATCTCGCCTCTTCTTCTGCGTTTAAACCAAGCCCTCAAAAGTGAAGCCAAAACGTCTCGATCGCCCCCCTGTGGTTGGTCCTAGTATAGCTCATAACCCCCGCCTCCCCATGTTATTCAATGGGACGCGAGACCAACTAAACCATTAAATTACACTTCACGTATCCTTTTTCCAAAGATAGTTTCCGTCATTTGCTGTAGTTTCTATCACGTTGATGTAATTTCAAGTGTTCGTTTTTAAAATAAGTTTGTTTTTAGTTAGTTATGTGATGATAAAAACGGTGCTCTGACATCATGATTGACAGGTTCTCTGTGCGAGGTAGTCGGACTTTTTTTAATAATGTTGATTATGTGGTTAGTAGTTGTATTTTCCTTATTTTAACGAGGTTCTGCAATCAGCGGACATCATAGAGACAGAGGACACTTAATGAAAGTGCGGGGCGTGTGCTTGCGTTTGATTCAGCGAGAATGGGGGCGTGGCCTTGATTTCGCGGCTTTACTTCCTGCTCACGACTGGTCCCGAAACACGCAAGTGCGCAGACTCAAGTTCAAGATGTCGGCGTCATATCGAGACTCTGGCGGCTTCAGTTCTCTCCGATGGAAAAGAGCGAAGGGGCGTCGTCCATCTTTTTTTACAGTCTATGGTTTAAACTCGTTTGATTGTGTAAATTGGCAAGACAAAACACGTCCAAACGATAAACTTTGATTAAACTTAGTTAATCCGCGAATCGCACGTGAGCCGAATCCATAAAGATCATGATCCGTTCCACCGCGAGTTGACAGGATTAACCCCTCGGGTGCCGAAACAAGGTATACTCGATGGTATCGAGGCAGTTCATTGGTGCCGAACTCGTACCTGGTTTTTGTCCAGCTCGCAGTTCTTGAACTCCTGCTCTCCCTGTTCCTGGAAGGTGACGATAACGAAGCCCACGAAGATGTTCATCATGAAGAAGGCGATGAGGATGAGGTAAACAATGAAGAAGATGGAAATCTCAATGTGGTTGTTGTAAATTGGGCCGACGTTTTCCAGATTCGAGTCGATGGCTTTATACAACAAGCTGTGTAAAGGTACAATTGGGAGAATGGGTTTGCGCCAACGCTGTATAGACAACAAACATGAAAGGAAGTTGTTCATTTCAGAATTAATTTCCTGATGATGATTTACTCGCCCCCACGTCAACATTTCTTTTCCATTGAAGAAAGAAAGAGATGAACATCTTGGATGACGTGTCGGAGAGTATATTAGTACCTAAATGGTCCATATTAGTACCAAAAGTGTACATATTAGTACCTAAAGTGTACATATTAGTACCTTAAGTGTACATATTGGTACCAAAACTGTACATATTACTACCAAAATGGTACATATTAGTACCAAAAGTGTACATATTAGTACCTAAATGGTACATATTGGTACCAAACCTGTACATATTAGTACCTAAATGTTACATATTGGTACCAAAAGTGTATATATTAGAACCGAAATGGTACATATTAGTACCTTAAGTGTACATATTGGCACCAAAACTGTTAGTACCTAAATGGTACATAATAGTACCAAAAGTGTACATATTACTACCAAAACTGTACATATTATACCAAAATGGTACAATTTAGTACTAAAAGTGTAAATTATCAGGAAATTTTAATTCTGAAGTGAACTTGTCCTTTAGAAATACTCACTCTGGCCAGCCTTCGAACGTGGAAACGGTGAAGAGAGCCAGCATGCCGTTCAGAATATTGTCGAAGTTTAAGTCGCTGTTCATCCACACGCGTTTCTGGAGCACCATGTCATGAAGAGCGTGTTCCTGGTGTTGAATAAACGTTCCCCTGAGAGCGTCACCGAGAGAGAGAAGAGTTATGTGGATTTGGAGAGTTTGAGATCTCGGAGTGAAGGAGAAATGAATGAAAGTTCAACCCGTACTGGCATTCCTCCGCCGTCATCTTGAGCGGGTCTGTGCAGTAGAAAAACTTCCCCTGCCAGAGAACAGGAAAACATCAACATTAAACACTCTTCTCTGCCGGACACACAGACTAATGGAGGTTGTGACCTCTCTGACCTTGAAAAGCTGGACACCGATGCAGGCGAACATGAAGTCCAAGAGCATGGTGACTAAAACGATGTTTCCGATGGTCTTGATGGCCACAAACACACACTGGACTACATGCTGAGAGACGGCAAAGACAGATAAATGGAGGAACGGGACATGTGACATGTTGTGTTCTCAAAACTAGACTCACTTTGAGGCCTTTGGCTCGATTAATGGCTCTTAAAGGTCTCAGCACTCGCAGGACCCGGAGGATCTTCACCACCGAGATCGCACTTGATCTAAGGAGAGACATGAGGACTGTAAAAATTAAAAAATCTTAACAACGACTGGTTCGACTGGTAGTGTACATCCTCAGCTCCAATAATGGCTGTTTGTATCTAATGTCAGCCATATTGCTTTTTAATCTCACTCCATTCCCATGGACAGCAGGGAGACGCCGACGACGATCAGGTCCAAGATGTTGAAGGAGTTGCGGCAGAAAGACCCCTGGTGTAAGAAGGCGCCGTACGTTGTCATCTGCAGTGGACGAAGAAGAAATGAACCGTTCACAGAATCCAAACATATAACAAAACAGCTTTTCTGAACGCACATAAACTCTCGTCTCACCTTTAGCACAATCTCTGCTGTAAACACTGAGGTGAAGACATAATCAGCGTAGGCCAGGACCTGGAGCGGAGAAAGAAAGGGTCGACGACAGCTGCATAAAGAGCGCATATTAGTACCTAAATGGTGCATATTAGTACCAAAAGTGTACATTAGTACCAAAAGTGTACATATTAGAACTGAAATGGTACATATTAGTACCTTAAGTGTACATATTGGTACCAAAACTGTTCATATTACTACCAAAATAGTACATATTAGTACCTAAATGGTACAATTTAGTACCAAAAGTGTACGTATTAGTACCTAAAGTGTACATATTAGTACCTAAATGGTGCATATTAGTACCAAAAGTGTACATATTAGTACCTTAAGTGTACATATTTGTACCAAAACTGTACATATTACTACCAAAATGGTACATATTAGTACCAAAAGTGTACATATTAGTACCTAAATGGTACATATTAGTACCTTAAGTGTACATATTGGTACCAAAACTGTACATAACACTACCAAAATGGTACATATTAGTACCAAAAGTGTACATATTAGTACCTAAATGGTACATATTGGTATCTAAATGGTACATATTGGTACCAAAACTGTACATATTACTTCCAAAAGTGTACATATTGGTACCAAAAGTGTACATATTAGAACCGAAATGGTACATATTAGTACCTTAAGTGTACATATTGGCACCAAAACTGTTAGTACCTAAATGGTACATAATAGTACCAAAAGTGTACATATTACTACCAAAACTGTACATATTATACCAAAATGGTACATATTAGTACTAAAAGTGTATTAGTACCTAAATGGTACATAGTGGTACCAAAACTGTACATATTACTACCAAAACTGTACATATTATACCAAAATGGTACATATTACTACCAAAACTGTACATATTATACCAAAATGGTACATATTAGTACTAAACGTGTACATATTAGTACCTAAATGGTACATATTAGTACTGAAAGTGTACCTATTAGAACCTTTTTAAAGGGAACCGTCGCAGTGACTGCTTTCGCTCTATTTTTCTGAGAGATGTGCGAGTGTTGAGATGGGGTACCTGGTTCCTGAAGGACATTGGGTCGATGGGGTCCTCCGCAGCCAGTGAGATACTGCTGAGCAAAATGAAGAGGAGGATGATGTTGGTGAAGGTCGTGGCGTTGATGATGCGATGGCAGAGTTTACGAAACCTGAGCAGAGAGACACGGATAAACAAGCTCCAAATGTGAGCTTTGTATTAGGGTTAGGGTTGGGGATTGTTTGGATTTTAACGATTCCAATTCGTATCGATTCCTAATTCCAATACTTTGGGTGACAAAAAAAAAACAGGTGATGTTTTCACTTGTTCTGCGGGCCGAAGATGAAGAAGGAACTGGCCTCTGGCATCGGCACCACGGTCTCCTTCAGCTGCAGGTCTGCCATTGGACGAGGCCGAGGGCTGAGGGGAATCTCTGGCTCCTCCTCCTCATCGTCACCTGACCACGTCATCACAACGTCAGCGGGAAAACATACGAACTGAATAAACTAAGGTAAATGATCCTTTATGCTTTACCTGGGAAATCAGCTGGAGGAAATGGATCTTTAATCTCGTTCACGTTTGATTCGAATTCATCCACTTTGAGCTGCAGATTAATATAAAGAAACGCATGAATCAGAGTACTAATTGATTATCTTAAATATGCTAAAATTGGTGCATTGGCATCAGTGCACTTATCAGCTATCGTGTATTGTCCGATTACGAAATACACTTCTAACGGCATTTGACAGTAATATACTGATGTGATTCTCTCAGTTTTGACCTTGGCTGTGGTGGGAATGCCGTCAATCTTGGCTCTCTGCTCGGCGAGTTTCTT